TCTGCATTGGTTTTGGAGTATTTTCTGCAAATTTGAACTAAGTAGTCGGTCTAGATTTGCAGGTCCCTATTCAAGCATGGCTGCATTAGCCACTTAGTATCTTCAAGAGAAAAAAATTAATCTTAAATTTGTATTAAGTTTTTAGATACAACTGGGTTTATGTATTACAGTATATGGTGACAATCTGCTTCTTTCAGGATGAATTGCCAGAAAAATACATTTCCCAGTGGCCAAGATGTAGGTGTCATATGATAAATATGTATTTATCACGTAACTGAAGTGTGTGCCCTTGTATGACAAAGGACTGCTTGCCCATTTACATGGCTTAATAGGCATCCATTATAGGAGAGGGAACAGTCACATGGTAGGTGCACACATAGTCCCCCAAAAGGCTCAGAATGTCTATTTGACTCACCCTAGCCAAAGGTAGGGTGCTGTTTTGCACGGAGGAGGTGCTGGTTCATTTGGGATCTAGGTAGGAAAGGCATGGGCTCTCCAGGCTAGTTAACTGGTTTATTGCATAAAGAATAGTAGTAGTAGAAAACGTGATAGCAATCTTATGACCCTTCTGATGCTGAGGACCCCAGCTATCACAGCATGAGACAAGCCCCTTTACACTGATCAAGCATGCTGCACAGATCCCTTCCATGGTGAGTTTCACACTTGTGGTGGTCTTCAGAATTTTGATAAGATTTTTTTAGAAGTAAACAACTATTCTTCATTTCTGCAGTCAAGTAAAGGAACGTTACATGTAGATATGGTGTTTAATCTCAAGGCCAGACAAGGAAAGCGGATGGTGTAATCTACTTGTACATGTACTGCGTCGGAGCCGTGTACAGGCTTCTCTGTTACAGTCAGACAGCCAAGTTCATCCAGCAGTCACTGAGGAACGGTGAAAACATTGCATTCTTACACATCTCCAGAGGAGCGAGTTAAAGGTGATCATGGTGTGTGCTCAGGTTATGTAATAGTCACTCATGCTGACATACGGGTCTCTGCAACCAAGGCCTGTGGTTAAACTCTGCCCAGGTTCTGCTTGAAATTGCTGTCTCCTCGTTACAGTGTCTTCTGCAGTGACCTGCTACAGGTGTCCTTATTACACTGTGCTAACTTTAGTGGTTTTTTAATGTGCTTACATACTGGAAATCTTGCTTCTTTCTTTGCTTAAATCTGTGCTACACTCCAGATTATAGAGCCTTAATATTTTAACTTTTCTAGAATTTTTAATCGGTATGAGTTTAATTTGCTGTGATTTGTTGGCATTTTGGTGCCGGACAAGATTCTGTTGCAAAAAAGTTTTCTATAGGGACTCCACAGCTGTGGCTGTATTCTGAATCTAATTTGGCTTAACTCTAGGCTGTTGCTGCCCCCTGCCACTTGCTTTGGCAGTATTATTTCTGTGACCTCACAGTTTTAGTCATGGGAATTTTCATTCAGATCACTTGCTGAACAGCTCACTGTGCAACTGTGAATTTCAGAGCCAACATGAGGAAGGTGCAGTAAAAAGTGGTTGGGGAGACAAGGGGGATGGAACTAGCCTTTTCAACCTCTGTTTGGACTTTACATTTGGTTGGAGTGGTGTGTAATGACAGCTGGACTGCTAATAGAAATTAATTACAAGGGTTCTGTCTTGCTAATAACTTTTCTCTTTTTGCAAAGCTAAAACAGTACCCATATTTTTTTGTTGTGCATGATTAATCTGTTAAAATGGTGTTTAAGATGTGCATTACACTACATGCTTACGTTCTCATGATTAACCTTAGATCTTAGACCCAGTAATTTCTTTTTATGTGTACTGTAGCGCTTGATACCATAAACAATTTCTACTTTTGACTGGTTACTAATCTTTTTTACATTACTTCATTAGTACTGCTGCAGTAATTTTCTGTACTAGTATAACAATAAAATTATTATACCAGTAAGACTAATAATTGAAACTAATAATTACACAACTTTTTATCAAATGTGTGTAATTTTAGTGTATTGTTTCTTGTCTTACGCCAATCAGGTGATAGCTGTCTATTTAGGCCAGGCTTCACTTTAAGCTTCTTACTTACGCTAACCCTTAGGCTTATTGTTTAACTAGCAGAACTTACAGCAGAAACTAAAAACTGAAACAAATCTATTAGTGTGTGAAGTAGTCCTTTTAATAAGGTCATTATTTTTAAGATCTCCAAACCTAATAGAAAATAAATTCATTAAGGTGTTTCTGCAGCTTGATGGTATCTGCTGCTTGTCTGCCACGTGTTGGCCTTTGCCCAGTGCCCCAAAAGAGAAATTAGCACTCCAAAGGTCACATGCACAAGGGCATCATATTGGAAATACTTAGAAACGGTTTTTTTCCTTCTTTTTTGCCTAAGTTATATCTTATATTAGCTTCTGTTTCCTGAAGTTATTGTTCCCAAAATGAGAAATGACCAACTTACACATGCATTCCTAGCTGATGCAGTTTTAAAGCCAGCATATTAAGGTACACGAAATTTGTAGTTGGTTTACATAATTATGCTTGGTTGAAAACTGACAGTATAGGAGTTGCAGGGCCTGTCAAATAGAGTGCATGCCTGGCAGCAACAACGCTTGCTGGAGAGGTGGAGAAGGCAGCAGGGGCATACTCGTAGGACACTGCTGTTACAAATCTCTCAGAGCCCTGGCAGGTGTTTTAAGGTGACTTGTTAATGCCCAGACATAAGCTCAGAACCAAAAGAGTTTCCACCATCAAAAATGAGACTCTTAGAGCAACACAAATGAAACATCAAATTTAAAGGTGTTTTAATTAGGATTGTCACTATATGGTAAAGAAGTGTGCTGCACATGTAAGTCATCACAAGAGTATGTAGTTAGATATTGCTTAGGTTTGATTGTTCCATGTGTCGTTGATAGATAGCTCCTGTGTAACAGGTATCATTAACAGGTGGCCAGCCTATTGCAGACTAATGCATCACCTGACCTGTGTCTTGGAAAACTAAGGTCTTACAAAGGCATCAGAACATTTGCAGATGGGTACATCTGCATGAACAAAAGCTGAGGACAGAAGTAGAGCATCAGTTTCAAAACAGAGCTTCCTTTTATGGTCTTACTATGCATGTAAATTATCCAACCCTAAAGAACGCAGGAAGATGTATCTATTTTGTTATTTGCCGTTAAACCTATTTTAGTATCTGTTCTTCTGGTTCATTTCTTCTTCTGATGTGTGCCACTTCTAACATCTGTTCTGCTATTCCATTTCATGTCACATAACTTAGTATAAGCTGCACCTTGATGTAAGTTAGATATTTGTAGAATAATTAGTCATAAAGATCTAATTTCTGTTTTATGTATTGGAAATATACACATTTGTCCTGTCACTAAGGCCTTAACCCTGTCGTAAAGCTTAAGGTTAAAGATCATAGGCCTTTTCCGTTTTGCATCCCTTGACACATTTGGAATAAATAAGTATGCCATTTGACACTTAGTAGACAACTCTGTACTATAAACAGCTGGTGTAACAAGTCTAATAATGTGGAGCAGGGAAAAAGCAGTTGGGTTTTTGCCAGAAGGAATGGTCTTTTATCAGGTCATTACAGGAGTAAAGCACTACTCAGTTTTCCCTGTCCATGAAAAACAGGATTCATGGTTTCTTTCGTTAAGTTAGGCTAGGACAAAATCTGTCTGCGAGGTGAATGCATTATACTCTTTACTTACCAATCTTAGTTATTGCTGTGTTTTTCCAGATCACATGAAAGTATAGAGGCCAACTACAGTAGGGAGAGTTACTGTGCAATTACAGTAGCTGCTCTGAATTTACTAGTGGGGTGAGTTAATGGAAAAATGTTGATTCAACAAAAGCAAAATGTATTGTAGGACAGTAATGTTTTCTTTCAAAATTCTGCAATAGAATTTAAAAAGAAAAGTTGGCCTAGGGAATCTAATTCAGGTAGCTATGATCAATAGATAATAGAACCTCCAATTCAAAGAACTCCATCACTTATATGGACTCATGTTAGGTTTCTAAGCAAGAGGGGGACAGTGAGGAGTTACCCTTCCTCCCCCACTTCAACTCCCTCCATTTTAGTTCTGCTGCAGTGTAATCCCTTTCAAAGTCTTGGCATTTGCTAGATAACAGTGTTACTTTTTCAGTTATCTCTGGATGTTGGTTAGCTTCACTCTAGTTCTATGTCCCTCATTTACCTAAGGACTTTGTTTTTTGATAATAAAATCTCCCTTCAGAGAGTTGCAATTCCTTCCTTAAGGACCAGCAGTTGTCTTTTAGCATGTTAGCGAGTGGTGATTGCTCTGAAGGTCAGTATGCTCAGGATGCTTAGAAGCTATTCATAAACTCTTCCCAGAGTTTCAGTGTTTCTGGTGTTTCAGTAAGCCTGTGATTGTAATTTAAAGTTGCAGAGGTTGGGATATTAACATTTTATGTATCCTATGATACATAAAAATGCCTTAGGAATCTTCAAAAAAGTAGGATTGCATGATTGGTGTCCCTCTATAGTACTCAATATTGCATAAGTAAATACTCTTCTGTATATTTGACCTTGAAAACTTATTTCATGGATTTCCTGGACCCACTAAGACAGAAAAATTTCTGCCTCAGGTGACAATCCTCTGTGATCAGATCTAGTTTTAAGCACAAGGTTAAAAAGGTTGAGCACAGGGTTACACAGCACAATTCGTTTTAAAAGAGTATTACAAACTAGACGGTGAACAATGTGAAAATATCTCCTTAACGTTTTTAACTGAGGTGAAAGAGAGCTGTCCCAAGTAAAGATTTTACTACCTCCCTAGTGGAGGCTTACCTGGTGAAAAGGCTTTTCTTAGGGCTCGTGAATATACTACCGGCAAACTCATTTTGTGAGCTGGGTTGGTGATCGCAGTAATGAGGCTACAATTTTTGCAACAGTTGATTGGGGAACACTTGCACCAGAAGATGACATCTTATGGCTTGATTGTTCTAGTTCTAATATGTAATGCCTATTTTTGACTGTACTGTAACTTTCCTTTATTTCAGATGCCTTCAATGTTTGACAAAGAACCTTTCCAGATATGCTGCAGATATTAAGTCATTGCCACCCAACATAAAGGATAAACTGATTAAATTAATGAGTAGGCAAGGTCAAATAACTGATTCAAATATCAGTGAGGTAAGAACCCATTCAAAACTATTCTGTCTGTGGTAGTTAATACACAAGGATGAACTAAACTAAAACTGTTTATATGAGACAACAGATAAATTCAGACCTGCTTACTCTGTCCATGTCTTTACAGGTTTTTTTCTTAAACTTCATAATGTTAATAGTCCTGTATTAGTAGTAATAAGATTGTGTTTGTAGTGACAAGTACATGAAAAGTGTTCTCCCTTCAAAATTAATTTCTGTGTAATCAGCTGTCATATATATCCCTCCTCAGTACGGGAAACTAGACTCTATTGCAAACCGGTCTCTGTTCCTGAATGTAGTATGATTCAAGAAGCTAGTGCATAATTTGGTAACAAAAAGATTTCAGGAACTTGTTAGAATTCTGTTATGTTCTGTTGACATTATGCACATGATCTCCATATAATTTATTTAAATCTTGACTCTTTGAAATATGATGATGCTAGGGCTAGAAATTGATAGTTCAAATTCTCTCATCCCCTTTGCTCACTGATGTGTGTCAGTGTTTCGAAATGAAACTAGTTAATGACTTTTCCTTAGCTGTAAATTCAGGGGCACATCTGTTTTGGTATCTATCTACTGTTATCTTGTTTAGCCTCAAAGGGAGGCATGAGAATTGAGGAAAGCTAAAGGTTGGCCTCAGTGAAACAGAAAATGAATGACTCCCTGTTCATTCCTGAAGGCAAACAGTTTCAGTTTCTCAGAGTCAGACTAGTGAAGCCAAAACGAGAGGCAGAATCAGAAGTGCTGTGGAAAACTTGTGACCAAAAAATTTTACCTTTAGTATGCACCCATTTTTTGATTGTACAAAATAAGTCTGTGAGTAAAAATTAGCGTCTTATTGTTTTATCTTATTTTGGAAAATTTGAATTGACAAAATGCAGTTTAGGCTATCTTTTCAGTAAGTAATCCTTTCTAAGCATCCTGAGAGATGCATGTAATCAAAACCATATGATTCTGTTTGTATAAATGCACAAAACCTATTAGGATATCTTTAGTCTGGAAATAAACTAGAGAGTTTAAGTTACAATCTTTTCCTCTGTCTTTTTGTAAAATCTCATCTGTCTTTGTCTTCATTCAGCAGTTGATCAGTGCCTTCTCTTGGAGCCTGTTCTCCATCTGACACTGAGATACTCTGTTCTGGTTCTTTTTCTCATGTGTTTTTCCTTTCTCTGTTCCTGCAATTTCCTGCAATTCTATCCTTAGCTGTCATCACTTTTCTTGGGCATGTTATACCTTAGCTTTCTTTGCTAACAGTTTCCAGGTTTATCTCACTTGCATTTTTAAAAAAAATGCTAGCCATCTCTTGGATTCTGAATTCATACTGTTTCTCCATACCATTTCGCTCTTCAATTTTCCTGTTCTTTCATCCTGCAGATATTCTTGTTGCTCGGCATAGCAAAAATAGCTTTTGTTGTTTAGCTCTTCTTACTATTCCTTGCTCACATCATGTATAACCAAAATATTCTACATGTGACACATTTGCAACGTCTCAATTAGTCTTCCATATGGATAAGGAATTTTTTTTCTTTGCTATTGCTTCCGTCCTGCCCTTTTCTTTCGTAGTCTCCACAGTATTGCGGCTAGATCTATTCTGTTGGAATTTTCCAGGCTATGCTGTCTCATTTGCTTTTATGCATGTCCTTTCGCTGGTGTGGTTTAAGCATTTTGCTTAAAGTTAACTTTTTTCCCGTTGAAATTCTGTTAACCTGCACTTATGTATAAATTTCTATTTCATCTCTTACCTCCCTGTTCTTGCCCAGATTTGTGTTATCATGCATTTTTTTTTCCTTACCCAGCTTTTTGCTTGGAGCAGCCTTCTGTGACACACATGCTAAACTCGTTATTCCAACTCACTTTTACCATAAAGTTCTATAAAGCCATTCAGCATGTGTCCACAGGATATAAGTCTATACTTCAATCTCCTGTACTCTGCATCCAAACAATCCTTACTCTATCTAAAATTCATCTTCTTTGACACAGATTAGCTTTTAGTATATGCACTCAGTGAATATGAATCTGTGAATAACAATAGAAAGCAAACCTCTAAGTAATACCTGAGTATGTGAAGAATCATGGGCTAGGGAAGCTTAATACTCTAGATACTTTAAATAGGCAGTATTCTGTTAGTATTGTTGCTTCTTATTTAGACTTCCTTGCATTTAATGATTCTTTTTCTCATAAGATTTCTCATGGCTTCAAAACCAGCAGTTTACTCTCTTTTGTTGTGTCCTAAGCAATTTGGAATTGTGAAAGAAAGCCAACAGTCAGGGAAAGCATCTTGAATAAATGTTGATGGTCACTTTGGCTTTAAGCACATCATCTCTGGGTTTGGCTGTTTTAGTTCTTTAGATATGAATTCAGAAATATGAGTGAAATAAGACCTGAATGTTATCCTGTGAAAACTACTCACAAGTGTATTCTAGGATATGTTGGTGGTTTTGTGGCATAAAGAGACATATTTGAGGCTTTTAGCATTTGGGAAGAAAAAGCTGTCAAAGCTGTCTGAGGTCTGCCATTCATTTTGCAGAAAGGTTGCAATTATAATCTACTAGAAGTTTTTGGTTTTTTTCAAAAGGCTTATTTGACTTTGTCAGTAAAGATTCTAGCATCTTATATTTTTGCAAAACAGAAAAACGGTATTCCTTGTAATATCTTTAGTGTACCTGTTAGAATGGTGAACCTGAGAAAGGAATAGGCCTTTAACAAGCCTGTCAGCTATGCTGTTATCTTTGCTTGTGTATGGAAATTTACTGTATGCTTCTATCCTTGTGAGTTAAGGAAGGGAATGACAAGCTGAAGGGAGTAATATAAGGTAATGTGAAAACCTGATCTAATGCTTGCCTATTGGTCTGAAGGACAGCTCAGCAAAGGTACAGACTGTTTGCACAAAAGGGTGCTATAAATAATATTTATTAAAAAGTAGTGAGAATCCTTGAAAATTAAATTAGAGGTAAGATATATATGGCTATTGTTACTAAAATCTGAGGCCTTCCATTGCTTTGGGTCTAAATTTCATAAATGTCCTCTTGGGGAAGATTTCATGAAAAAATCCAGCCTATGGTCTTGTGGGAGTGCAAGAGCCCATTTAATGAGGATTTGGTACCTCCTATGGTATCTCTATGATAATGAGATTGCTTGTTTATGAGAAAAATAGTGTGTGTGTAGGTGAGAAAAATACTCTGGGGCAAAATATTTTTTAAGTGTTACTCTTACCTGTTCAGCAGATTTAAGTTTTTATCACAGTATTTTTTTTACTCTTCAGATTTCTGCTATCAAAGTTGTGCTAGAAAGTTTGCAGGTATTATCCTTGGTAAACATATCTGTGCTGGCAGAAGCACTAGTGTTAGCAACTGTACCATCAAAATAGTACTTCCGCTGTTTAAATAGCAGTGTTAATGTGCTCCTACTCTAAATGTGATCACAGAAACTGAACATTCATGCTGTAGGAGATGAACTGTTGCGGCAAATACACCGTATTTTCTTCAGAGTTTTTAGTTCCTAGGCTGGTAACCCCATCCTCTAGTGAATATTTTTAAAAAGTTCTACATGATGTCTAACATTACAAGTATTTTAGATAAAAATATGCATTTTCTGTTACATAGCAGAGTTTCACTGAAATGGTAGGTTTTCTTTACAGATATTGCACCCTGCTGTAGAGTCTCTAGACCTCCGAGACTGTGATATTTCAGATAATGCATTATTGCAGCTTTATAACTGCAAGCAACTGAAAAAAATCAACTTAAATTCTTGCAAAGAAAACAGATTGGGAATCACTTCAGAAGGTATGTTATCTGTGCACAGATAACTGGGATCTTATTTCTGTTTTATTTTTCTTGTTAGATTGGAGTAAATTGCAAAAAATATCTAGGGTAAATATTGCTTAAAAAAATCCCCAATGCCACACCAATACTAATTAAAAGTCACTTCAGAGGTGTAAATTATAGGCCTACAGCACTGATTATCTTATGGAAGAGAGCTATCATGTTACTTTCATGCTCGGTTTCTGGTAAAACTATGCTACATTTAATCGTGTTTTCCACTTCATCTTAATTATTCCTTCCTCAAAACTTGTTCCAGAGACTTACCAGTACCACTGGGGTTGAAGTTTCAGGCTTGTGACTTCCTAAATTACTTTTTTCCCCTTTTTTAAATAAATGTATTTGTTATTAAATAAGCTTGTAGCATTTTCTCTGACTTGAAAGACTTGACTTGCTTTAGGACTTTAGGATTCCAGGTGTTACTTTTAACCTCCAATTTCAAGTTGTATCAGGAGCTATTAGCTTAAAAGAATTTAGCTTGCTGAGTTTTATTTTCCACAAATTTTGGTTTGTCTTTTGGTTATCCTTACTCATTTGCTCCATCATTAACTCATCCTTATTGAAAATTGAGGCAAAATTTTAATTTATTATTGAGCTAATGTATACCATGCTTTACATCAGTCTTGGTTTGTATTTTCTTACCACTGCATAGTGATACACGTATCTTTTTACTTAAGTAATTGGTTAGACTTTTAAAAACTGATTTTATTTACTTTCAATGTCACCTCATTGTTATACTTTTTGACCCCTAAGATACAGTTTGCAATGGTCTTCCCTCCATGCCTACATCTGTCCACTGATTTCTAGTACTAAGAAAGTACTAGCCTACTTTCTAAGCCTAGAGCTCTTTATGTATACTTTTCATCTATTTGGATAGAGATTCCTGATTACTTTGCAATTAAAACTGGGAAGTCTAGTTCTTTATTGACAAGTTGCTAGTCCATCCAATTTTACTAACTTTCCTACTTATAAACTGACCCCTTTTTAAACCGAGAATCAGTTGTGAAGCCTTTAATTTAAGCTGGAACAGTTCTTTATCACTCATCTCAATTACATACAGGAAAAAAAAAGACCTAAACCCACCCCATTTTAAAGCAGTGTTACCTTTTACTAATTCAGTAACAGGTGGGTTTTTTTTTTCGTTGGTTTGTTTGGGTGGGGGTTTTTTTTATTTGTTTGTTTGTTTTTTAAGAAACCTGCTGGCTACCACATCCAGAAATGTCTGAGCCCTGTCATTACTAGGAAACATTTGCTCTGTAGGTTGCATGTGGAACATTTAATGTCCTTTAATACAATATCCAGTAGTACTTACTTCTCTGTCAAATTCAACTACCACTACTGTCTCTTCTGTCCTTCGTTGCAAAGTGGTTCTGACCCAAGCAAGTATATTTTATCCATGTTTCTTTGAAGTTCTTACATAGTAACATATCATAATGACATTCAGTTTTTTATTTCTATCTATCCAGAAGTGATGGAATTTTCTGTACCGCTGTAATCATCATGTTTCCATCATCCTTGAAATAAATTCCTTTCACGAATTGTATCTGTAGTTCGTGTACTTTTATTTTATTGACTACCTCCTGACACTTCTGCGGAAATATTTTGGTTGTTACTAACTGTCAAGGTTCTGAGGGCATCAACAGACCCTAATGGCTATGGCTGGTCTCACTTGCCCACCTACACCAGCTGCCCATGGACCTTCAGTTCTGGCCTGAGCTCTGTCATAGGTGTACCTGGTTCCTGTCCTGCTTCTGAACTACTGTTTTGATTTCTTGAATTGACCTCGGACATGACCTCTTACCTTGCTTTTTGCCTGATACTCACTGCACCGTCAGTGGGACCTAGCACTATCATCAGTCTGCTTTCAAGCCATTGGCTTTTTTTCATGCACTCACTGAGGTGATACCTCATGTATATAATATCCCTCAGGTATCCCTCTGCAGTATGGAAGGGAATTCAGCATTTAGAAATTTTTATCACCTCTAGCATTGTTCATTGTCATTTTCTTTTTCTCATCCTTGAATTAAAATAAACCAACCACAAAATTATTTCCTTGTACAGAGTTTTGCTGGCATGGCATGAGGTGAAAGTTGAACAGTCAATGACCAGGGGACAGCATATGGGATTTAGCATGGTGATTAAAAAATGAATAATTTTTTAAATTGCTCTGTTTTTTTGACAGGTGTCATAGCACTGGCCTTATCCTGTCCTTACTTGCGTGAAGCGTCTTTTAAAAGGTGCTGCGATATAACCGACAGTGGCGTTCTTGCTCTTGCGCTCAACTGCCAGTTCCTACAAATAGTGAACTTGGGCAGCTGTTCAGGCATCATGGATGCATCTCTGCAGGCACTAGGAGAAAACTGCAAATTTCTTCACAGTGTGGACTTTTCATCTACTCAGGTCAGCATTTGTTTGCTTATTTTTTTAAGATTGTCATGATAAAATTGAAAGCTCTACTCTTGTCAAGATTTAGGACTACAGTTCACTTCCAATTTCCTCCTCTCAAGGAAAAGGAAAGATATATTTTGCATCTTGGTAACCCAAAAAATACACATTTTGGTGTTACAGCATGTATTGTGGACCAAAGATAAACTTTTATTAGAATCTACCTAATACTGGAGATTTTTTTTTCAGTATCTTTATTTACTGCAATCATTTTCTTCAAGTTGTAAAGTAATCCACAATATTTCATTTAAAGAAAGTAGAATCTTGGACAGATTATTGTCTGCTTTCAATTAGGACAAACTGACCTGAATAATAATAACATAGGATGTCAAACAATATAAGCTCCTAGTAGAAGTAAACACTCCGTAACCGGTTCTAGCTCAAGAGTGACTGTGCTTTCTGAATGGCTTGTCAGAGTTATGTTGTGGAGTCAACACGGAAAGAATGACATTTAAAATGTCAGAAAGGGCAGGTAAGAGGATTTAACAACAGTTAGTGTGTAGCATGAGAAGGGGGAGATCAGCTGCAACAACGATACTGTAACATACTTCATAATTACAGTAAGATAATGAAGTGGAAAAAAGGATTTTTTGCGGTAAGTGTAGCATTCAGTTGACTGTGGTGGTGAGTGATTATGTTGAATGTGAGTCAGGCACAGAGCATTCGTAATGAAGTGTCAGATCTGGAAAACACATAGCAGGCTCTTATTTTAGATGCTATTCTTCTTTCAGTTTTTCCAGAAGTAGGGCATCAAAAATAATTTATTATTTTCTTTGGTAATTTTTATTACTATCATGTAACTCTATTTCTTTAAACTTATTTCATTACTTTTTTGTTCACTTGCCTCTCTCTTCCTTTATGTGAAATAGCTAAGTTTCCTTTTATATGTTTTAAATGAAATGAAAGCTTCTTGGATAACTAAATGTTTCCACATTTTTTTTTCCTTTCTGGTAATCATATGATGATAATACACTAGAATTCTGAGTTTCATTTGACTAAAAATAAATGGAAACGTATACTAGATATAAGTGAAATAAGTTTCAGATGAAGCAGAGAAACTATGGATGGCTTATGCCTGTAGAGATTGCAAGGCCTAACCATATTCTTGTGTTTGACTGCCAGAATGCATAGTAAAAATACCAAGTGGAACTGGCAAAGCTGTGTGCAAGAGTAAAACCGTGAGAACGTTGGAAATAAATGAACAGGCAAAGAAGGGCACAGCTCACTTGCAGAACAAGAAAGCAGATGTGAGCTAGGCTACAAAGGGGCCAAATGCCTCAAGGTGATGTAGCCATTTTAAAAATAGGCTCATCCGGTGACTGCAAAGATGAAGTACAATAAGTAGAAGGTATAGAAGTGGTGCAAAATAACAAGAAATGGGGCAGGTGAGGCAAGGGAAGGATTGAGCTATGAAGGAGATGTAGCTCTCTGTCCCCTGTATGCACACAGAGAGTGTGAGTGGAAGCTTGGCCTGAAGAACTCCGCTACATTGGCCCAGGACCGCATAAGAAATCTGTTTATGTTTACTTACCAGTATGCTTATGTTACCATTCTGAGGAGGTAGGTTTTATACATAAACCTTATACTTCCTGCTCTATTTCTAGTGTGCTCTAAATCCCAGCAGCGTTAACAGGTAGAAACACAGGCTCAAGAGTCCAAATCCCTGCACTAATTAAGCAGTACATTTCTTCTTTAATGTTCATTGACTCGGTGTATGGCAAATAATTGTGGGAAGAATCTTGCCTGAAAGGGCTGTGCAAACTGCAACAGTTTTCTATGTAGGGTGTGGGACAGTTTAGTTCTCTGCAAAATGTCTTGGCAAAAGGAGGAGTGTTGCGGGTTAGCTGCTTTATCTGCCCGGACACTTCTTGTGTAGAACAGAGCTGGGTTGCTAACGTACTTAACTGCTGGTACTGGACTATATAAGCCTTAGCTAGAGATGCATACAGAGTTTGGTGACAACTAGTCTGTACCAAGAAGCTGATGTATTTGTGGCTTGGTACTAACTGCAGGTGGTTTATCCCCAACATAAGAGTGTATCCCTTGAAGAGGATGGGCAGATGTGGCATTACAGACAATGCACATAGATATTCAATAGAGTAGGAAACAGTACTGCAACACTGTAGTAACCGTATAGCACTGGTTACTGTGAGCTGGTACAGGGAAGTGAGGGGACTTTGTTTTAATACAAACCCGATTTCATGCTCTCACACTGTCATAACTATATACTCACAAGTATCAAGAGAGTAGCATTCAGATGGTCTCTCCAGTGTTCAGGCACCAACCAGGCAGTCTAGTCCAGATTTGTTTTGATGAGATGGAGGATAAGGGGCACAGGCTATCAAATCTTCATCACTTTACTTGGGTTCGTCTTAGGTTGGTGACCATGCACTGGTTTTGGATGTGCCGTTTCATACCCTTTAGGAACTGACAGTGATTACTCTCTCCATTCTGTCCCACCTATGGGAGTTACTAGAATTTATTCATTTACTGCCCTTTGTTTCCTGGTCTGGGTGTCTTCAGGAGCTAAATGTTCTGTCATCTGGATGACCTGCTAAGCTAGGTACTGTCAATACCTGCCATTCTTATAGGCCTTTATGTGCCACCATGTTGGGACATTCCTGTCCATTCTCCATTCGCACTGGTCTGACCCTTTCTATTACAGTTCTGTACAGTAGACTTGCAATAGAGGGCCAGAAGGCAGGAAGACAATTTGTGCAACGGGAATAAACAAATATTTAAACAAAAATGGAGCTTGTGGTCTCTGGATTCTAGCTGTCAAATTTGGCAGAGCCTTACTGTGTATATTTGATGACTATTATTCCTGCCGTCTAATACAAGCTCTATGAAAAAACCTGTGTGATGGATCTGATATCCAGTCCAGCTTTTGAAGTGGGGAGGAAGTTTAACGAATTTGGTCCCTGGAAGCAAATGAATAAATTGGCCTTTCTTGCCTTTCTAAGGAAAGGAATGTCTTTTGTCTCTCTCCTCTCTCTTGCAGGTAATCATTGCTTCGTGGCTGTCTGTAGCCAATCACTTTGATAAAGCTTTTAGTGCGAGTGTATGACGACTGCTGTAAGACTGCTTGTTTGAGGGATTTTTGTCTTATGTAACTGGTTTGCTTCAAGATAAGTAAAAGTAAGACAGCAGATTAGAGACTGCTATGATTACTTTTTTTTTCCCAACCCAAGAAACTTCCTTCAGGAACATCTCCAGCAGTCCTGAAAACAGGAGAAAAATTGGTCTAGGTAGAGCAGAAGTGCTTTAAACCTTCTAAATTACAAGTGCCATGCTCTGACCTTAATAGTGTACCCACTGTTAAATGAGAGAAGGAAGCTGCAGAAATATACAGTTGGAAACATCCCGGTAGAAAGCCAGGCTGGATCACATGACAGTAAAATGCAACAGTGTTTAATAGACTGAAAAAACGATAGTTGGATAATTTTCTCTACAAGCTTAATTGGGAAGAAAATATTGTAATGTTAAGTGTATTCAATGACTGCAGGGAGTGAATAAATTATTTTTTTTTTTCCTCCAAATAGCTGTGTTGGAAAAAATTGAGCTTTAATCCATTGTGTTAATAACAATGTGGTTTTCTTCTCTAGGTAACAGATGATGGCGTTACAGCACTAGTGAGTGGAACATGTTCAAAGAATTTAAAGGTAACTTACTTAACATAATAACAAAGAAATGAACAAAAGCAAATACCTGCATTTTTTAATTATTATATGAGTATTACTTCTGAGGGGTGGTTTTTATTGACTGACTTTTGCCTTTGTTTGCATACACACTTGCCCTGATTTTGGTTATGAATTGAGTATTTTCTGTCTCTCTGTAGCAGTGCCCCAGACCAGCTTTTTGAGAACCTCAGTCTTTCAAATTGAGTTTTCTTCTGTTGAATGTAGTATGCTTATTTTAACTCATGTTGTTTTAGAGAGCTGTATAATAAATGCAATGAATGCTTAACTTTTTCCCTTGATTTCTTTGGAGTTATTTCTTGATTCTATTGAACGCTGAGGCAGAATTTGTAATGTGGATAATTTCATGGATTTAAGAAATCAGTTAGCACCTCTGCATAGGTAAATCTCTAACTCATGAAAGCAACTGTGAAGATGAAGTTGTCTTTGCATAAAGATTCTATAGGCACTGAGACAGTGATAAAATGATGAAGAAGCAGCATCCCATACCTCTTTACCATAAATGATCTTTTAGTACATTTCATATGAAACAGCGGTCCATTTTAATACAGCAAAATTTAATGGTTTTTTGTGGAATGACAATTTTAAAAACAAAAGTTGTGTTCTATCAGTATAAAAAGCTAGAACGGTTTAAGTCTCTTGGTTTACAAGCAGCAAGAAAAAGAAATTTAGTAGAGAATACGGAATTATTTGCTACAATCTCTTCTTCAGTGTAACTCTTTTCCTTGTCTGTGTCACAATCCTCATACCTCTGTTTCATGTCATCAAAATGATCTAATGTCAGGTACACAGTGAAAAAAGTAGGGTCTTTAAATTGTCAAACTGTAACTAGGAGGCAGATTTATAAAACTTTTTACTTCATTCAGAGGCATTCAGATTCCACATTTCACTTACTAAAAACTGTACATATGTCAGCTTTTGAATATCTTGCTTCTGTGAATACAGTTCTTGTTTTCTGTGTCATCATTCTGTACAAAGTTGCATTTATTACAAAGGGTCCCTTTCATTTCTGTGCTCTTTCAAGATCCTTGGAGTTTATTATTTGGAAAGACACTCTTTAGGTTTTTTTATTTTTACCCTAGGCTCCCCAAAGTATATTTTCACAAATCCTATTTTCATTATATTTGATAGTCTCTTTTCTGTGTTTCTTCTTGTATGTTATATTTGTTGATATGTAAGGCAGTTTAGAGGGGAAAAAAAAAGTTGGTAATAGTCTGTTAATGTAATTCTGAATTTATTCTTTCTCTAGCACATACAGCAGGTACTAGTTATACCACTACACAGAAATGAAGAAGAGAGCAGGTTTTAGTCTAGTTTTGGAAGACGTTCTGAGACTTCTTTTAGGAACTGTGTAGACATATAGATAGATATTAGAAACTTCAGCAGAGACCGGACAACAAATTGCTAGGAGAATGTGTGTCATAGGAAAACTGATGGGACTCAAATACTGTAGAATCTCATTGAAGAGTTTCCTCAGTTGTCTTGAATGATATATGCGTTTTGGGGAAACTCAGGTTTATGTTTTTAGTTTTGACTCTTCATAGAAAAGCTGTCTTATTTTTCCTGAGGGTATTTTCCTGGTCTGTACAGGACCACATACGGGATCAAGGCACAGAGGAGTAGTAGGTGGGGATCTCTGGAAATGGTTGGGCAAAGGAAAGCTCTGCCTCCAAACTATGGGTGCTCTGACAGGCTTTTGTTACTACTATTTTCATAACAGGAGATCCACATGGAACGCTGTGTGAATCTGACCGATGTTGCTGTGGAAGCGGTCCTTACTTGTTGTCCGAAGATACACATTTTCTTGTTCCATGGGTGCCCATTGGTGACAGGTAGGTCAAATTGTGCAGGGAGTAAGAAGAGTAATTACTTCCTGATAGTATCTTCTTGCTCTCTGGAAAAGCACACTATACTTTGTAAATAATCCCAAACAAATAATAACTTAATAGATAAAATAAGAATCATACATTGAGATTTTCAAAGCAAGGAGAGAATTTTGCTTTGAAACATGGCAACCTTCAGAGAGGGACTTTGTTGTTGTTTTGGAATTTGGATGTTTTTTTCTTTCCGGTTTTTTCCCCCTCAACGTGCTGATGAAGACCCAAAGGTGATGATAAGACTTCAGAAAAATATGTTAGCATGTTAAAACCCTACGCTATTCCAAAAGCATGGAACAGCATCCATTCAAGAAACAGTGGAATGGAATAGGACTGGTCAGCCTAAAAAAACACCACACTTAAGAGAGGTTATGATCTATCTTGCATTTTTTAGGTTCGGTTGGTTGGTGATGCTTTACAGTTATGTGATTAGAGAAAGAATTGAGTGGTTTTGAATTACTACAGGTATATCTGAAGTGTGATATTGTAATAGCAAGATAAGCATAAATGCAGATATATAATTGAATTATTTTGCTGTTTACCTAGTTTCTGAACACCACCTATATATATTCTGAATGAGTAACAAGAAACTCCTTGTTTCTTTTGCAGATCGTTCCCGAGATGTTTTAGAGCAGCTAGTCATATCAAACAAAATCAAGCAAGTAACATGGACTGTTTACTGATTATTTATCGTGTACATATGAGTGTAAAGTTTACAGATGGGAGAGCTACTTCAGAAAACAAGCACCTTGGAAAAATAGCTGTTGACTTCTGTACCACCAGATTGCTTCCCTCCTTGTTTCCACCAGAGGTCTCTGTCGCCATTCCAGTCCTTGCCTGTGAGTCTGGGCTTCCCCATTGTCACTACTTACAGCCCTGTCTGTCTTTGCATCGCTGATCATACTTCATTAAAAGGAAAGTTAAACTATAATTAATATTACACTATCATCGCTTAGCCTCCTTGAAGTATCAGATTTGGCTACTACCTACCATCTTTTAGCATCTTAGCTACATAAACAAACCCAATTTAAGTCTCTGTTCTGAGGTTGTAGTCTGAGAGAGTAGTTGCAGCTAAAAGTACCAAGTCCAAACGTAGTATTAACACTTATGCAGAAGTGTCTGTAAAGTTGGGACTTTGTCTGTTGACTTTTGTCAGATTAGAACTGGTGAATGGAGGTGGCATTAACAGCAATGCAAACATATTTTAAATAGTAACAAACAGTCTCTTTTTACCATGTACTTTTGCTAGGTCTGGAAGAAAAACTGTAGGTACCTTTCTTTTGATGTTACTGATGCTGCAGGTTTCTGTTTTTATTTACCATCAAATACTTGCTGGATTTTTACACATCCAAAAGTACAGTCTGTGAACATGTAAACATAAACTTGCTTTGAAATTGTTGTGGTGACTTAACAAATTTCAGAGTAGTAGCTATGACGAATAAAAGAATCTTATATATGGGCAAATACTTATTTGCTCTGGCTTTTGCCTATGTTCCTGCATGAAAATCCTTTTAGGGAACAAAACATTGGTCCTCATAAGCATACCTGTGAGTGAAATAGGACCAAATTTAGTGTCTAAGTACAGGAAGAGTTCAGCAGAGTATGTGTTCTGCTGTATGCGGTTTATTGTATCTCTAGTGGCCTCCAGAAGCTGAAAATAAAAACCATTTAGATATTCTTCAATTGTAGTCATATTAAAGAAAAAAAATACTTAGAAGCATAGAATGAATTTATTTCGTGATGGAGCAGTGGTCTCATCACAATTACAAGTCGTGTTCATTGGCTTTCTTGAAACAGCATAACCTCTAGTGAGACTTCTGTGATTTCTACATTAAACTTTTTAAAATGCTAGCAATTTTAGCATTATATAAGGCAGGTAGCACACTATGTTGATACTCTGCATCTGGAAGTAGCAGGGTTTAGCTAGGGTGGTCTTACATGGATCTGATGACACTTAAAAATGCATGATTTTAGGCAACCATAAGGAATATATTTACTTTATTATTTAACACTTGTCATAGCCACACTCATTTTAAGTGTTGCAGAAATGAACCAGTCTTCTACTAATCTATTTAAAGTTCAGGTCAAATTGCATGGAAGATAGTAATATAATATATGTTGCATCCGGTAATATTAAAGGATATTATGATGCCTGACAATAATCTCTGTTCTTCTATTGATTATATGGTTTATGGAAGAGCAAGTCCATTTAGAAAACTTGTTCAAGTCTAACTGAAAGCATAATTTTCAAACTCCGGTACCTAAATCCCTAACTCTTGTTGCGTGCAGTGCCATGGCTCAGCCCAGTGATGAATGTGTTCCTATGATACCTATAGGTATAACTGCACCAGTACAAACCATTCCTGCAAACAGGAGAAGTTGGTTTTGCTACATTAGCAACTAGCATCTGAAGGCTGTAATTGCAGCAAATCCTTGGACCCTTGGACTAGATAGAGGCCTAAGTACCTAATCTACCACGTCTTATTCCCTTTTTTGGCTAAAGAGTAGTTTATTGTTTTGCCCTGTGGAATCCTTGGTATCAATCAGGTCCCATCATTCTTTTGAACTCTTGGACATGAGTTGGCAATAAATTCGTTTTGCACTATTTTTCATATTGATCCACCTAGCTGATTAGGCAGCAGCAATGACACGCTCGGTAATCGTGTCACATGAGTAAAGCATAAGGATCAGCCCTGATTTCAGGGAGGGTGCCACAAGAAGAGTGAGTAGAATTGTAAGCTAACTCAAGTGGGAAGCAGCCTCAGGAGGTTTCTAGTCTAACTTCCTGTCCAAAGCAGGGCCATCTCAGAACTCAGACCAGCTTAGTCAGGGCCTTATACACCCAAGTCTTGGAAAACTGGTGACTGAAGAGCCTTCACAGCCTTTTGAGGCAGCTTGTTCCACTGCTTGACTGTATTCATGGTGGAAAAAAGTTTTCTCTTTATCCCATTTGACCCTATTTTGTTTCAGCTTACACCCTTTCTCACTGGAAGAGCTTGGCTGTCGTCCTGACAACCTCCTCATAGGTATGGGCAGGCGTTTGAAGCCTTCTCTTCTCCAAGCTGAAAAAGCCCAGTTCCCTCAGCCTGTTATTGTAAGACATGTAACTATAACATAGTACAGTGGTGGTCACCAGACTCTCATCTCAAGTGCTACATCTAGAAAGAAAATTATAAAGGAAGATAATGTAAAGCAGCTAAAGGTGGAAGACCACCAAAATCCATAACAGCAAAGGACACTTAAAAGAAATTCTATCTGTGGGACAGTGCTACTGCTAACCTCACTGGCAAAGTTGTTGTTTTTCCACTTGCTAATGTAACCTTGGATTTGTCATGTTGAAGACAAATGTAGCTTACACTGTGTCCTTAAACTGCATGTAGATTTACCATTTTCTCCTATAGCCTCTTCTAAACGTGTAACTTAATGGTATATCCTCACCTTGTGCTTAAAAATCTGTACAACACTGCAATGAATTAACACTGTATTTTTAGGTTTGAAAGTTTAATGTAAGTCACCTTAAATCCTTCACTGTCAAGGGCTTGAGTCTGCTCTCTTATGTGTTTATTACTAGCAAAACTCTACTGGAATATTTTTTGTTTCGGGTTAAATCACAGTTATTTTCAACAAATGTTTACAAGCACTTATCACTTCATATTCTGTATTGTTTGGATATTGTTATTGTTGTAAATTGTTGGGTGAGCACTGCAGAATATTCGCATATCGTTCTGACAATTAAAGTTTGTAAGTCTTCCATTTGGATAATTCTGAAAACTTGTTAAATTATATTTTATGACCATCTGAGTGTGCTCCTAAACCTCCTACTTCATAAACATCATGGTCTTCTGAGTGAGTATCACATACTTCTTCACGTTTATAAGCTTCCACCATGTCACCTGCTATTTGGATAGTTGCGGGTGCATTGTGTTCCATTCTGCAGTTACTAGTTCCCCACCACAGCAGTCCTTTTCAGAGGATCCAAGGCCCACTCGCTACACTCCAACTGAGAAGGAGATATTGGCAGCATATGAAGGGGTTTGAGCTGTTTCGGAAGTGGTTGGCACTGAAGCACAGCTCCTCCTGGCACCCCGACTGCCGGTGCTGGGCTGGACGTTCAAAGGGAGGGTCCCCTCTACACGTCATGCAGCCGATGCTGCGGGGAGTAAGTGGGTCGCACTGATCACACAGTGGGCTTGAACAGGAAGCCCCAGTCGCCCAGGAATCTTGGAAGTGATCAGGAACTGGCCAGAAGGCAAAGATTTTGGAATATTGCGTTATGTGTGTGTCATGGTTTAACCTGGCAGACAGCTAAACACCACTCGCTCACTCCTCCCCCAGTGGGATGAGGGAGAGAATCAGAAGAGTAAAAATGAGAACACTTATGGGTTGAGATAAGAACAATCTAATAATTGAAATAGAATATAGTAACAATAATAATAATATGTAATGAAAAGGAAGATAACAAAAAGAGAGAGAAATAAAACCCGAGAAAGACAAGTGATGCAAATGAAAAACAATTGCTCATCACCCACCGACCAATGCCCAGCCAGTCCCCAGGCAGTGATCCCCCCCCAATTTATATACTGAGCATGACATCATATAGTATGGAATACCCCATTGGCCAGTTTGGGTCAGCTGTCTTGGCTGTGCCCCCCTCCCAGCTTCTCGCTGGCAGGGCATGGGAAGCTGCAAAGTCCTTGACTCGTGTAAGCACTACTTGGCAACAACTAAAACATCAGTGTGTTACCAACATTATTCTCATACTAAATCCAGAACACAGCACTATACCAGCTACTAGGAAGAAAATTAACTCTATCCCAGCCAAAACCAGGACAGGATCAAATTTTCCTTTTGCTTTTTTTCTTTTTTTTACCCTGCAGAGGGTTCTTCCTTGACAGATGTAGCTGAGAATGATTCTGGAGCTTGTTGTCCAGCATCTTCTCAAGAGAAGAGAAAAATTATTATATCCGACTTCTATTCCCTGTTTTTATTTAGTTACCTTCTGTTCAGCAACATCCCAAAAGGAAAGATTTCTTCATCCCTCACCAGCTTCTATGATTATAGGTTGCCTCTTTTACCCGTGCAAAGGTAGGGAATGTAGATCATTTGACCCTAATCCCTAGGGGATAAAGTTACCCTATAGCTATTACTATTTAGTCACTTTCCACATACTAAAAACTTCTACTTTGGCTAGAGTTCAAGAAGCATATTTTAGATTTGTGTGCAACTCCTAAATAATCACTCTGGCTTCAAGGAAGAGTAAATTTTTATTATAGAGGGGAAGGGGGAGATTCAAATTAGTTAGTTTGACATTCAGAAGAGATACCAGAAAAAGAGCAAGGCACTTTGAGTATAGTATGAGCTAATAATAATCTAGCTGAGAGTTTTATGAAGGACAGCAATAATTTTCTCTGTAAATAAGCTGCAAAAGTCTGTGAAAGCAGTGCAGTAATCTTTCAGCCACTGCCTTCTCCCCACAGCTGTATGCTGGACGTCCAAAACATTTCACAATAGCGTCAGAGAGCAAGACATGAATATACATGATGAAAAACATCAAGCATGCAAACTCTTACATGTAGCTTGTCTTTGGATTTGCACTTCAGTGCAGGCCCCTTTGAATGCAGTTTGCATGTAGTTTTTAACCTCAAATGGAGCGAAAGCCTCAGTGAGTATGACTGAAATCAATACAGTAATCTACTTCGCATCAACAGGTATGTTCTGTGTTTAATTCCCATTATCATTTTACATACTTAGAAAAAAAGCCAACCAAGTGAGACAAAATTCATTAGAAAGCCAGCTTCAACAGTTTTCTAAGGTATTTGAGGGCTGATAACTCCAGACAATACTTGATGTTAAGCCATTGTTTTCTTGTCTAGTATACTCGGGAAGTGAATATTCTATAACTTTGTGCAATTGACTGCGAATGCTGTGGCTTAAAAACTGATGCCTGCCAGGGTCACCAATCAGCACTTCAGTTTGCTGTATCCTGATGCATTTCCTCAGCCAATGATGCAGACCGTCAGCAAGTTGTTCATCATAAAACATATCTCCTAGAACAATGAGGTCCCAGTTGCCGGCCTCTGAATTAATGATGTTCTTAATGGTGATGGGGAAGGGATTCAGGTGGTTCAGTTCACAGTTCAAGATCATTGCCATTCCTGCAACTGAAGAAAAGTCGAAGTAAAATGAAAGTTATGTTTTAGGATTCTGCCATTCAGCCCCCTCACAAATTTCCTTGACACATCTTTCAATTTCTTAAATATTTTTGTTTATCCTATCTAGGGATTTCCACAGTTTTCATTATGGGTCAAAATCTGGCATAAAGTGATGGAATTTTATCCTCGTTGCACCATGACACAGGGAAGAACTATTCCTGGAATGGATACCAGTTGAAACCAATCACGGAACCAAACCAGAATATCCAACCGCCTTAATCTATGGATATACTTCCTCCCTAATCAATGAGTAATTAAATTAGGAATAAACTGAATTCCTAAGTCAATTATGGGAAAACAAAGTCTGGGGGAAAAAGGCAAAATCTAGGCCCCAACATACGAAAGTGCAGGAAAATGCCATAGTCCTACAGAGAAGGCAACTTGCCGCCTGTACTTGGAGTTCTCTTCCAAACCAGCCACGATGGTGTATAGGCAACACTTGATAGAAACTGCTGTTTGTTCATTCTAAGGAGCTGTGGAGATATACTCGGTGCAAGAGAGGCTGGTACAACCCAGCTTCTAATACTGGCAAAATCCATTCATCTTTCTAGCATTCTTAGAACTCTGTTTGGAATCTGAACTTCTCCCAAATGAAGCAAAGAAAAGTCTGTGTTAAATGTGCTTTAAAAATTAATAAGTATCTTTACAGAGAGATGAAAAAAAAAGGCCTTACTGGGGTCGATGTCATTAGCAAGGACTTGAGATGCACCACTCATCACAGCAGCTATTGCTGTTGCTCCACATCCACTTCCAAGATCCAAAACTGATCGTCCTTTAACAACGCATGGATTATCTAAAATATACCTGAAAAGAAAAACTGTTAAAGCAATGAACAAGATTATGCAAATTTCTCAGTTTTGCATTACACTGCATAAGAGTTCTTGTCATACATGTAATGAAGCATGGTATCTTAAAAACATTATTCCACAGGTGCAGCTGGTACATAGCTCCTTATTTGTTCTCTGCTGATATAAAAATCAAGAACCATCATCTTTCTCCCTCAATTCGCCCCCACCCCCCAAACAAAAAGAAATCCAGCCAAGTAAGCAACATTTTATTTCAATCAGCTCCTTCTCTGACAGGTAAGCTTATCTAATAAATGGACACAAACTGCAAGGTGACTAAAATGCTTGGCATCAGAAACAGGAAAGTAAGGATTTGTAGAAATTAAAAGCAATCTGACTGAAGAAACATGAAAATGTATTTGCAGTGAATATTGCGCCCATCGAAAGACAAGGCCTACCCATTCGCCTAAAATACTGCTTATGCAACTGCTTGGAAGAAGAGGAATTTCTCCTCTTTCTTTTCCTGAGCCATGCAGACACAGATGCACATATTTCTAGTCTGCTTAATGCTGTTCCTAAGTAGCAATAAAAAAATGAGAACAGAGCAGCGGTGAGCAGAAAGAGTATCATCTTCATCTAGTTGCTGACACTTGCCAAGAAGAATCAGCAAGCAAAAACCTCTAGGCTGGAAATGCAGAACTGACAGAAGGCAAGCAGCGGTTGTTGTTAAACACTGCGAATCATATAGCCATTACTGATGGTTCAGAACTTTAACAATTGCCTTGAAATTCCATCTTCTGCAAGGGGGAAGGCCCTAACTGACAGGGGGAAGAGCCCTAGGTGACATAAATTACTACAAATTGCCATAAATTTACTACCAATTGCCATAACTTCTGTTCAAGTAGAAACAGGAAAGGATTCTACATTTGTGTTGTCTTCTGGCATGGAGGGTGATGGCTGACTCTTCACGCAGGGCTACTGGTAAGCACAGCTTTTGCAGGTGGGTTCCAATGCAGAGAACTGTAATGGAAATGTTAAGATTGGTGTAAATGGCGAAAGGATGGATGGGAATGTCTGGGAGGAATGGCAGAAGGAGGCCTAGTAAGTGTCAAGTGTTGATGGCACACCTGTATACAGATTCCCAGGAGCCCAGACTGAGAGAACAAAAGACAACCTACCCTCAAACTGAACAGTTCAAGCCATTAAGAGACCACAGCAGGAAGGTCGAGACCAGGAGTGAAGATACAAAAAAAACAGATCAGAAACCCAGGAGACATGAGGAGGACCTGACATCCCATGCCTCTTGTGCTACGTGTCATCACAAGGAATCCTACCAGACAGCTTGGACACACACAGCTTGGTGCTTTTGCGTATGTGGTCATGAATCCAGTAAGTGAAACTGTCTCAGTTTTAATGACAACCACCTTCTCCTATGAGGTCTGGCACCCAGCTTTGTTACACTGTTACCATAATGTTGCAGCATTATTTGCTACTTTGAAGACCTGCAGGTGCTCTCTTTTCTGAGGGCACCCAGGCCCTTTTGTGCAGAGGTTCAGCAACTCAGCTGTTCGGCAACACGCCCCCTGTGGCCTTCGCTTTTTTGAGGACAGCCCATAGTTTACCGACAGGGTGGAGGACAGGGATGGGACCTCCACAGAAAGTGCTCCGTTTCCCCTTTCTAGGGGCTATGCTTGGATTTGCAATGACTTTCCAGCAGTAACTTGTGTAGAGCATGACCTGGCCTAAAGCTGCAAGAGCCTTGTTTCCAGCTGAGTGGTTCTCAAGTTACCGCTAATGATTGTGGTGACTTAGGACAGCTGGAACCGACTGTATCCCCCGGCACGCACACAGGGCATTACGCTGCTGTTGGAGACTGCTGTCTGCCATGCTGGGTTAAGGAGGTATCTTAGGTTACACCAAGAGGAACAGCCTGAAACAGGAGACTCCTCATGTTGTGGAAATGCCAACTGTGAAACGAGCAGAATTACGGAAGCAGCGTGTTTTCATGCTCCCTTTTTCTTTTTACTTTTCCAGATTATGCAGCTAATTTCTGACATTCCCAATACATCAAAACAAGTGCATAAACCATAAGTCAATAAGGTGGTGAAATGCCAGATAATTATTATTGCTACCCAAATATCTGGGCATATGAATCATATGATAACAAAATGTAGAGATTACCTTCCCTAACTTAATTACGCAATGTTTAGGAGCGTTCTAGTTAATCTACATGGCAGGCTAATCAACTGGCAATTTACTTGTAAGATTCATCTTTTTCCTGGTCAAAAATGCCTTCCTGTTTATGCTTTCTTGCAGAAAAACAGCAAAGCCTCAATTCAGATCCCTCCCTTTCATCTATGTGGGGAATGTCTGACAGCTTGTTCTTCGCTGTAACAATTATTAACTTTTTCTGCTGTTCAAAGTGAGAGATTTGATTTTACAGAATGAAGGAACTCTAACTAGCTCCTGTGAATCAGGAACATTAAAGACATTTTGACAGTGGCCAAAATCAAAATGTGGCTTCTGATGTGACTAAAAGACAGCCACAATAAGGCTTGACAATAAGGCTGCTGAAATCCTAAATGAAGGGAGTGATTCAGGCCAACCAGCACTCCAAGTGCATCAGCATAAACCTACTTTTCTCAACAGACCAAACACACATCCACACTCCTGTCTGTCTCCTACAAAAAAACCCCCATGTGTTACAACAAACTAGCAATCCTCCTGTTTGGAGCGACAATGAGTGACAGAATTAAACACCTCGCTAGGTTTTGATGGCAACCGCACAGCCCTTCCACAGATCCAAATTCAGCCCCATTGCCATCACACGCATCACCACTGAAGACAACAGATTTCAACATATGCAGCAGGTGCTGAAACTTCACTGCCAACCAGCAGAGATTGCGTCTCTCCTGTATAAGCAGAGAGGAGTATGGATAACGTGCTCTCATACAAGGCAAATGCACATCGCTAGGAATCACTACAGGCAGAGCCAGGTCTGACACCCTGGCCCGCAGCAGACTGGACTTATCAACTTTGGTGATGCGTGCTGCGTACCTGGAGAGGGCTTGGCCTCCTGGCCAGTAAATTGCCCAGAACGGGTCCCCGTAAGGCCACAGGTCAGATTTCTCCCTCCAGAACCTGCAGCGAGGGGTGAGGAGGCGGAGTCGTATCTCTGGCGTGAGGTGCCCGCTGCTGGTGACCTCCGTGTTCTCCTCCAAAAACGCTCTCACCTCGGGGTCCAGAGACTTGCCGGCGCTCCAATGGCAGCAGCGCTTCCAGCGCAGAGAGGGGCCTCCCCTCCTGCTCCTCCAAGCCCTGGCAAAGGTGTTCTGCCTGCCCACGAGGAGGAGCCACTTCCAGCCACGGAAGGCCATGTCTCCCCAAGGACAAATCCTCCCCGGGAGAGCTCGGAGCACAGCTTATCTGATAAGCACAGCAGGTGATGAGGCACAAAGCTTGAAACAAACTCACAGGATGTTGTTTTTCATAGTGATGGATGACAATTCCTGAAAGGAGAACAATGCTACGTAAGTGATGTTTCTTCAGTGACTTCAAGGCTATGCACCACCCGGGCTTTAGGAAGAGGAGGTCTACGTGCTGTTGTGTGACCATGAACGCGTGCCTTGCCCCTGCCCAAAGAGCCTTTGAAGTCTGAAAGAAGTGGTATTTAAGGAAGAAGAATCTATCAAGAGACCCATTCAGCAGAGTGCTATAAACATATCCTGTGAGAAACAACCAGTTAGCGGGACAGCTGATAGAGCTAAAAATTAAGTGGGCAGCCTTTTAACATCTCCCTCCCTCCGCCTTGAAGATATACACACAGCAAGCTACTCCCGTTTAAGGTTCTTCCACTGAATTTTAAGAGCAGTAGGGCTCTGGCATTGCAGGGCCTATGGACATAGCAAAGGTTATCAGTAGGCTGCTTGAGAGACACCATCAATTACAAGTTTTATAATGGTGATGAGTTTTTTACATGAAAGCATCTTTTTAAAGTCAAGCAGTTAAAGGATTTCCTCAAAAGACTTTCCTCTTTCTCCATCAGATTTGTCAGGCTGCCAGCTCCAAAATGAAAAAAAAAAAAAAAATCCCCAAGAACTGATCTTAATCAGAATACTCCCAATTTGGTGCATGTCAGGCTGTATTTTAAAGGATCAGTTAGTCTTACGGTGCAAGTCTCATGCGGATGCTCTCAGCTGTAGAGGAAAG